CCATCCCTGGATGAGTCGAAACTGTCGGAGAGCTAATAGGGTCAAGGCTGTTGGGGCTCGGGGCTGGTGTGGTGCTGAGGTGGCGCCTGCTGCATGGCAGCACTTGGCTCCCAGTTTGAGGTGCGTGGAACGTCTTGTCTCTCCGGCAGAATGACCATTTTCCTCTGCTGTTGGGGGAGCTTCGTAAACTCCGCGTTTCAGTGGCAGCACTCTAAGGCATGCAAACCGGGGAGCAGCCAGATCTCTGTAGGTGGGTATACCTTCTTTTGGTCTGGTCTGTCTGGGCTGCTATACTCAGGGAGTAGCTGTTGCCGTAGCGGATCAGCTCCTTCCAATGGTGTCTGACGTCACTTCTGTTGTCTCAGTGTATGCTCCGACCATGGTGAGTGATGTCTCGTTCAGGGAGACATTTTACTCGCATTGCAGGCAATCTTTGCTTCCATCTGGGAGTCAGGCATCATCCTAACTGACCGGAAAACGGGACTTGTGGTCCTTATCTGGAAAGGGAAAGGTGATCGCCTGGATTGTGGCAACTACAGGGAGATAACACTGCTTTCAGTGCCGGGTAAGGTCCTTGCTAGGGTCACCCTTAACAGAATCCATGAACACTTGCTTGTCTGTCAGCGACCGGAGCAGCCTGGTTTTACGACTAAGAAGTCTACCATCGACCATATCCTTGCACTGAGGGATCTCAGTTGATCGAGTTGCCCTGTAGGACATCCTGAGACTTCGCAGGATCCCCCCGAAGTTGCTGGACATCATGGCCAGCCTGTACACTGGGGCTGCGAGTGCAGTGCAGAGAGGAGGGAGTACCTCTGCGTTCTTCCCAGTTGATTCTGGGGTTCGCCAGGGGTATGTTCTTGCTCCTACTCTACTCAATGCTTGTATGGGCTGGGTGTTGGGCAGGGTCATGGGGTCCAGCAGCTGTGGGGCATCCGTTGGTGAAGAAAGATTTACTGATCTTGACTTTGCCGACGATGCTGTGATCTTAGCGGAGTCAATGGAGACTCTGATCGGGGCTTTTGAAAGACTGAGCGAGGAGTCGGAGTGTCAGATTGAGAATGTCCTGGATAAAAACCAAAATCCAGGCCTTTTGTGACTTCTTGGGCACAGCCATTAGTAGTGTGTGTGTCTGCAGGGAGAATGTTGACCTTGTCGAGAGATTAACTTACCTCGGTAATGACATTCCTGTCTCTGGTGACTCTTCCTATGAAGTCAGCAGATGGATTGGGAGAGCATGGGGGGTTCATGAGGTCGCTGGAATGGGGTGTGTGGCACTCCTGATATCTGGAGTCCAAGTCTTTATGGTGGCAACTCGAGGGTTGCAGGTTCGAGCCCTGGTTCCTTCTGACCCCATCAAAGTGTCCTTGAGCAAGACACTGAACCCCAAATTGCTCCCGGTGTGCAGGTTGGTGTCTTGCATGGCAGCCTCTGCCACCGGTGTGTGGATGTGAGTGTGGATGGGTGAATGTGAGGCATAAATTGTAAAGCGCCCGTAGGAGTAGAAAAGCGCTATATAAATGCAGTTCATTTACCATTTAGGAAGGTCCAAGTCTTTAGAGTCCTGCTGCTCCCTGTCTTGCGGTATGGATGCTATTCAGTGAGCTGAGATGAAGACTGGACTCCTTCGGTACTGTGTCTCTTTGGAGAATCCTTGGGTACCGCTGGTTTGACTGTGTCGAACGAGCGGTTTCTAGAGGAGTCCCGAATCAGGCACATTACCTGCATTGAGAGGGAGCGTCAGTTACGGCTCTACGGCCATGTGGCGCGTTTTCCCTGAGGGTAATCTGGCTCACAGGATCCTCCAAGCGGCTGGACCAGGCCAAGGGGACGCCCATGTAACACCTGGCTGCAGCAGTTGGATGGCCATTTCCAGAGGGTGGTACTGGGCAGTGTATCTGCTTGGGGGATCCCTCGCTGGGATCCCGAGGAGTTTCGCTGTGTGGTGGGTGCGGCACAAGCGCATGCTCCCCAACCTGACAAAAAGAAAATTATGTGACATTTCTGGTAGGGGTGGTGCAGTGGTTAGCACTGGGATCAGGGTTCGAGTCTCTGGCCTGGCTCCGTGTGTGGAGTTTGCATGTTTTCCCAGTGTCGTTCTGGAGTTTCCTATAGATTCTCCGGTTTCCCTCCATAGTGACAAAAAAATGCTGAGGCTGATTGGAGTTACCAGATTGCCTGTAGGTGCGACTTTGTGAGTGAATGGTGTGTGACAGAAATGATAAGTTGAATATGAAGAGCATTAGGCCTGCTTTTACACTTTCATCTGGTCAGTGTGCTAGGCTATCAGCACCTAATGCTAATGGAAAAATGTTATGGTATTGTATTGTGATTAGATAATGACCCTGCCTGCTCTGACTCTGGGTTTCAGATCTCCACCTGAAGCTGTCTTTGCCTCAGACCCATGAGGAGAACGTGCACCCACTTCTCATCATAGTGTAAGGCCCCAGCCAATCACTGCTAAGCTTTCTGTCCCAACACACAAACAAGATCTGTGCTACTCAGAACTGTTCATCAAGTAAATGTAGGCAGCCTTGTGTTGAATGACATCTGCCTGGTATGTTGTTGCTCACACAACAATCAGAATCCTGAACAGTGCGCTAATCCTGCTAACACTGACACTTTACCTTGTCTAAATCTATGCTTCCCAAAGTGGTGGTCGTGACCCCATAGGGGCCGTAAGACGATTTCCAGAATATGTGAATAAAATGTGAACACATTAAAAACATTATTATATTATATTGATATTTGCCGATTCAATGTGTATTGCGATTTTTTTAATATATTTTGCTGAAGAGCATTTCAGATCTATATTTAAAATAAAAGATAAGGGCTGTATTTCTGGTTTGTAACACACAAAGGAATAAATTAATAGATTTCTTGACATGGGTGAAACCTAATTTATAGGTGATCAACATGAAAAACTAATTGCTGCTGTCAGTAGGTTACGGCTAGTGCTAGAGAGCTCAAAGACCCTCCCATGTCTCTTAAATCAGTAGTTTGGGAACGTTTTGGTTTTTTAGTAAGGTAACCTAACACCGAACAGAAAGTAGCTGATAAGACCAAGACTGTCTGTTAAGTCATTTGACACGACGTCATCTGAGTGTGTATGATGGAAAACAAGGCAGAAACAGCCTCTGCAAGTTATTCTCCGTGCGGCATTTAAGACATTTTTGCCTGGAAATTCAGACCAAGCTGAAAAAATAACTACAGCTATAGGGATGTGTATCGTTGCAGGTATGAAACCATACTCAGTAGGAGACAATACGGGATTTCATTCATTATTATTATGCAGTCTAATTTTTGAATTTTATATTTATTTTATATATATTTTTTACAGCATATAAATATGCATTGCTTAGGTTTTGTTATTCAGACACGTCAGACACAGCCCTTTGTGGGGGTTGTGAGTCTCGGGCACTTATTTTGGAGGTCGAGTTGAAAAGCTTAAATAATAATAATATTACTAAAAATTAGTAGCAGATTGGCCTTCAAAGGTTTGTTTAGAAGTTCAGTTAGGTTTACATAAAGGTACTGCTGGGCTTTTTAAGCACACTCGTACAGTGCCCCAGGTATCCACTTTCTTCTTTGTGACAGTGATGGGACACCAGGAAGCTACACGGTGACCGAGGAGTTCTCCCTAGGCTGGCCTCAGGTTCTGTCCAGCACGCATGGGGTGGTGGTGGCATGGATTGACAACAGGAGCAGTGCTACGCGAGGTCAGAAGTCAACTACCCACGATGCCAGAAAACTAAGCTCACTGATGGTCAAAGACCAGCTTGGTGTAGTGGAGTAAGTTTTGTAGAAACTTTTTCTCTCGTCACCCTAATGCACAGTTTCTGTTCAGAGATGTTCTGTCAGAACTGATATGCCCTTTCTGGGAGACAGTCAAATGAACATAATGTGTGAGAATCTCTCTTTTTAAAACAAATGCATTTGACACAGGAATGGGGCATGGAATGACAGGTTTATGAAGGAAAAAGGTTCCCTTGGCAGAGTTTGTAGGTTGTTGGCGATGGGCAGTTGACAGGAGTAAAGCAATACTAGAGAAAGCAAGTGCACTGGGAAGCAACATAATCTCCAGTGGGAGTTAGTGTGGGTTTCAGAGATGGTTCAATGTTTGTAGCACGAAATATGAATGAGGGACAGGTAAATGAAGACTAACAAGCCAAAACACCAGAATCTCCTTCCTGAGAGAGCAGACTTCTTTGACTGAACCCAGCAAGGTTCTGATCCCCGTTCCTCCTCCCGGGAAAAGAAGTCAACATAGGTTCGGCACCCGATCTGGCTCGTGGACCACCAGGAAAAAAAAACAAAAAACAGCTGTAATGCAAATTATCAGTGCATGTTGGTGTTTGGTAGCATTCATCTGATGAAATCATAGAATCTGTGATGGGACAGGTCAGGGCACAAAAGGTGGAAATTAAATTAGCCAATCCGGAAATGGATGGGGGTTATGGGAAATGATGGGAACCACCATTCTGTCCGTTTGTGGGCAAAACCTCCATCCAGTGTTTAATAATATCTAAGACAGCACTGTAATCATTCAAGCAGCATTGAAAAGCTGCCTAACAGAAAATATAGAGTTGATTAACTTGTCCAAATCTTCTGTGCACACAAACTTATAAATGATGTGCTTCAGAATTTTATTAAAACTTTTGACTAAGTCATCAGTTTGTGGGTAATAAACTCTACCTCAGATTGTTTTCAAATCAATACATCAATTTCCTTTAGTTTGCATGACCCAGCGTACGAAAAACAAAGCGGGTCAGTAAAAATCTTATCTGAGACACCACAAGTCTACGAATAAGTAATGCAAAGTGATGTCATTGTGCACTACAGTCTGAGGCTGGAGTACATCCCTGAATATACATCCCAGTTTTCTCCAGATGGACCTCCATCAATGAAAGTGGGTGCTTTAGCATTCAGAAGCCTAAATGTTCAGTAACTGGCATCACTGCATCTCATACATCATCTCCATATGTCAGTGCAAATGCCGGCCCAATAAAATCAGGTCAATAACCTGTGAAGGATTCTTTTTCTATCCCAGACTTAGCTTTTCCTATTATGGCATGGAAAACAATGCAAGCCAACCACAACCAAACTACTATGATCTATGCTTTTGACCCAGGTGACGAACAGAAACTGGAAAGACTGGATATGTATCTATTTCCCCATTTACACATCAAACCTCTGCTGATTCCTCTGCATCCCCTGCTCTGAATCCCACAAAGTCCTAACTATCAGTACCAGTTTATCTGGCTGCTGTAAAGGAGGAGGTGACACTAGCATATTTACTCTGGCCAATAACGTCTATGACCATAAGGTGGCATTCCATCTTAGCACCAAATAGCCTCTATATCCCACGCTGCCCCTTCTCACTTCGCTCAGTAACTTTTCACTGAGCCCCACAATTATTTGAATTTAAACTAAATGATCAGTTTCAAACAGTTTAACGGACTTTACAAGGACAACCTATTACAGTACAGTTTCTCGCATTCGGCAATGTCAAGACAGAGGCACTACTAGACAGGTGAATGTTATTCTTGAAAAACACTGAATTGTTACACATTTCTTACACATACTTTGATCCTTTTTATACACACATGCACACATTATTGATTATTGCACCGGTATTTTAAATCAGGTATTACAGTACATGAGAACTATCAGAAAGACAAGCAAAGTGCTGCTCCTTAAGCATGCGCAGGAACGCACATAAGTATTGCGTAACGCTTTTGTTATTTTTAGTTAATGTAAAATGTAAAGAAAATAGTGTTATTGCTTATTAAATTGTTATACTGGTATTTTTTTGATTGTGCTGTTACTTAGAATACATGGAATACTTAAATGTTGGGTACGAGAACTTATTGTACATAGAAACTTCAAACGAAGGCATAGCTAATTACTATTTATTGCTATTGCCATTGCAGTTTAGGAACAGCCCACTTGATTGTCATAACAGATATTTCTCCTCTCTTCTGTAGATGGCTGATGCAACTGCCTTTCATTGATAACAGACGGATGGCCCTTTATGGGAAGGTACTTTGAGACAGTAATATCTTAAAGGAATGTTGTATTCACCCTAGCTAATGTTGCAGATGTCTCATCTGACTCTGCCCACCACTGCAGGCTTTTGGCGGTTATATGGCCCTCAAGATGTTAGCTGCAACAGACCAGCTCTTCAAGTGTGCTGCTGTCATGGCCCCCGTTACAGACTTCAGATTCTACAGTAGGCCCATCAGTCAAGTGTTTTCTCAAAAGGGTTCTCACTGCATTTGTAGCTCAGCTGCACTTGAACATGCATGACCCATCTGATCAGGCGTTCTGTATGCAGGTGCTGCCTTCTCCGAGAGGTACTTTGGACTCCCTTCTAAGGATGAGAGTGCTTATGTGGTGAGAACCAGTGAACTTTGACTTTGGTCTCACAAGCTCTTAGTACTTAAGCCAGCCCAAACTCTACTGAAAGGTTCTTTTGTCTTTTAGCTAGTGCTCAATAGTTTTGTCTAACTGTTGTGATCATCAGCACCGATATAGTAATGCAATTTAAGTATTGTACTATTTTAATTCAATGAAACATACTTTGGTATAGGGGTGGCATGGTGGTGCAGTGGTTAGCACTGTTGCCTCACACCACTGGAACCTGGGTTTGAGTTTCTGCTGGGGTTCCATGTGTGTGGAGTTTGCATGTTCTCCCTGTTTCTAACATTACAGAAAATGGACAGAATATTATGGTAAATTTCTTGTTTGACCTCATCCATGAGGTCAGGTGACTGTGACATACACAATATCATTAACACAAAGACAGATCAGCACGTTTGTAAATGCTGATGTGTAGCAACCCTGACAGATGGAGTTTGTTGTTCCTTTGTGTCGTCTTCTCTTCAGGCCGCATCCGTCTTGGAGGATGCTGAGAGACTTAAACATGAGAACTTCCTTATTCTCCATGGAACTTCAGATGGTGAGAGACCACTGCTCAAAGAAAATGCTTTGATGTCTTTATGTGACACCTCTTTCTTCATATCAGTCAAGTTGTTTTATACAAATACAGTAACAGTTGACAAATGTGTCCTAGAATTCAGAAGACAAAAATTCTTAATTCATGATTAATTCCTAAGGTTCCTGCATTTCAGTGTAAAAAAAACATTGAATTATATTAAAAAGATATGACATTTGGAACTATTCATCCACAAATAATATTATGACTAAAGCTACTAGCTTATATTCTTAAGTTCATTATTTCTTTTGTATGATTTCTGTTCTTTAACTATAAAGTTAAGTCCTATATTAAATAAATATTTTAATAAGTGGATATTTCTCTGTAGACCACTGTTTCTCCACCCCCCAGACGATCCACATCTTTGTACCTTACAGCTCCCAGTAGGGAGAAAAAAAAACACGTAGATTAACTGAGGGTCTCTGAGGACCTGGTTGAGAAACGCTGCTGTAGACATTACTGCTGCGTGGTTGTAATGAGATACCTAGAGTGGATCCCTCAGGTTCTCGACTGACCTGTCCTCCTCTGGCCTGTCAGCACGGGTGCACTTCCAGCACAGCGCAGAGCTGCTGAGCCGCCTGGTCAGGGTGGAGGCCAACTACACCCTTCAGCTGTACCCAGACGAGGGCCACAGCCTCAGGGCAGAGAGGAGCCAGCAGCACTTTCGCCGCACCCTGGGCCACTTCCTCCAAGTCTGTCTCATCCAGGCACCCCCCCGCCGAGAGTCAGCAGCAAACCAGGAGGATGATTACTGACCATCCCTGCTGCCTGGAAGTGGGGGCACGGCAAAGAGTGGACATTGAGACTCCCCCCACCAGTTCCTGGAAAGGGTGACACGAGCACTTCCTCCTGTTATATGTTCTCTGACATCTCCCTGTCTATGTTTGGGTGTGAGGTTGCTCTTGCAACAATAACCCAGGCCATAAAAATACCCTTCAGGTCTTTGCCATGTAGGATTTGGCCACGCATCTGGACATCTTCGCAAGGGACCTCTTCAAGACTGTCCCATCTTCCCACCTTCTTCATTTCCTTTGTCCTGCCAAGGTCTTTGAACTCAAAGCTTAACACCATTAAAAGATAGATCCCTGTGCACTACATGTACAGCTGGACTCATGGAGTATTTGTGTAATTTTTTAAAGTCTAAGATAATTGTCAAAAAATACATCTCTGACCTTATCACATAAGGGACTTTTCAGAATGAACAGCAGTAATGTGGATCCCTGGCTTGCAGATGTATAGAAACAGGTGATTCTGAGTATTTGGGTGTCTTGCCTTTGAGGCAAAGTGTGTCAGACAACAGCAAGGTTTTGTTCCTGTTTGCAAATGTATATGTGACTGGGACTAACATTCCAATGAGTTCTTAATCCATCTTGCTACCAGAGATAGACTTATTTATCCATGATTTCAGTATGATAAGAGGTGGTGTGGTGAATGTTGGTAATGGCACACAACAATGAAATTAGTCCTCCTCACCCAAAGCACCAACCCAGCACAGAAGGTGACAATGAAATTTATAAACCTACGGCTTGTATTTTTATTAAAGTAGCAGCTAAATAATGAGGAAAATTTTTATAACTATTTTCCACTTAAGAAAACTATCGAGGGGGCTTGTTTCAAAATCCGACATGTGACCCAAATGTTGATAATTAACTTACAGTACATTTATTAATGTAACATGAGACTTGTGATATTTATGGAGGCTGAATTGAGGTAGATGTGCCAACACAATGCCAGTGATCTCAAAAAGAACAATGCATTACCATACAGGGTTACTGTCCAAAATGAATGAGGAAAAGGTAGGACTGAGGAACGGTGCATGTATTTTTCAGCAACAGCTGGTGTCAAGGTCCCCATAAGGGATAAGGGGGGGTGATGTCTACCCAGGGGGGGCTTGGTGTGTGTTTCTGATCAAGCACTTCCAGCATTCTTAATACTTACATGTAATGTCCAGTTCATTAAGAGATAGTTAAATATGTCTGTGCATGTAATAAGAGTATACAGTGGGACCTCTGTATCTGCAGTTTCAGAACTGGAAAACTCCAGAAATAAACAGTTGATAAGTTTTAAACCGCGCATCAAGCAAGTACAGGCTGTGACAGGGTGAAGTCAGCCAATCCAGTCACGCCGAGTACGTAGCTCACCTCCCATGACCAATACATACGTTTCCCTGCAGAACTCTCATCCAGTCAGCATCCAGTGTTCTCACTGATCACATTTGTTGGCATGTTCTCAGTGTGTGCTATAAAAAAATGCAGAAAGCATGATTTTCATTGCTCTGTCATCCCTTAAAACATGTCTTCAGTACTCTGTTGCCTCTTGAGAATTAGGCTACATCATCAGAATCCCTTTCATTTGAGAGAGTACAGTACAGTACTTTATTATTACTGGTATAGCACATTTCCACAACATTACATTGTCTCAAAGCCCTTTACATTATCCCTGCCCAAAGCCCGCCGTGAGCAAGCCAGAGGTGACAGTGGCAAGGAAAAACTGCTTAGTAGGAAGAAACCTTGAGAGGAACTGGACTCAAAGGGGGAGCCCATCCTCCAGAGGTCAGCAGAGAAAGTCTTACTGTGTGTAATTTATCTATTAACCTTAACATATGTTATATATGGGGTCCACGGATGGTTCGCCATTATCCACAGTTTTTGGCCATCTGCAGAAGGTCTTGGAATGTATCAGCTATAGATAAAGGGGGATTACTGTACTTATGGTCTGGAGAACAGCACATCTCTCAGGGCCACTGAGCCGGATCATTTAACATTTTGGTGGTGATGGTACATCTGAAAATTGTACATCCAACAGATTGAATTATCCCTCTATTGTGGATCGGTGTCACTGTCCAGAAAATGGGTCTGTTGGCTGGAAAATGGAAGTCTCCCCTATCGGTTTAGTGGAATGCAAAGTTATGCATATATAATACAACAATGTCCAACCTTATTTTATTTTCTAGATTTGATTATGTGAAATTAAGTACAATGTATGATCCCTGAAAACAGAAATAAAGCAATAAAGCAGTACTGCCTAGTAATGACCTCATAAAATCACCTTAAATTGCACCTTTCTTTGTTTCTATTTAGTAAATGATTATCTTTCTGTACCTTTTTAGCTCTTTTTTATTGGGTGCAGTTTTTGGTCAAGATCCAACAACCATGGTCCTTATTCTTATTGAAATGTTATTTTTGAAAAAGTGACAAAAGTTAAAATGAGATGAAAGCAATGACAATGATGATGCGACGTGTTTCAGAATGTTACGGAGCTGCTCTGACCTGCCCCATGTTATCTGTTTCAGCATAATCAGGCACCTGTCAATTGCTGTCACATATTTCAGTATCAATAAGAAACAAAGGTGACAACTAGAATTGCAGTGTTGTGATCAAGAAGATCTAGCTTTGTTTTGTTAAAATGCACTCTACTTGTGTTTATAATAATGGTGAGCTCACAGAAACCTACCAGATTAATATTAGCATTCTAAGAATCTCTCCAGGAACAAGTAATGAGGAGTAGTATTTAGAACAAAACAGGCAGAGATCCTCCAGGATAAGCACAGAGATAACCAGCCTAGATTGTACCCAAAGCCCTACCTTCATCTCTCAGCAATGCAGCACTGCTAGTCCAATCTCCACCCGAGCTACAGGAACATGCTGAAGTGCATGCACTTTGTGTAAACGGAATGCCTGTATCTCTTGTTTTCCTGTACTTTTAAAATTTCTCTTTAAAGAAATGTGTGAACAGAATTGTTTTATTTCAATAAAGTATAGCTTTTGGTTTATACAAGTATTATGATGTTCTCTGCAATTCTCAAAGCAGTAATATCAAAAGTTTAAGACTGGAGAAACACAAAACTTTTTGTACCCTTTTCGTGCTACAGGATCATTTAGCTATATGTATTCATTATGTACCTCCTTGATATAACAAAACTATTAGAGGTATTTTACTTGGAAGCCTTAAAACTGTCAAATTTGAGTGTTATTGTACCTTAAGTATTATTCGCACTGTCGAAATCAAAATATTATGTCTGTAATACTATATACTGTGAAAGATTTTTTGTGGCTTATAACAGCACATGCATTTGAAAACTAGTTATAGGAATGACAAAAATGTATTCCCTGTATGGCCCCATAACTCTCCCCATGTAATCCCTACTCCTCTCACACCCCCCAACCACTACAATCTCTAGCCCCCCTACATACTCTCCCCACCCCTCCAAAAAATCTTAATTAAAAGCACACCTTTGGGTTACTAATCTCGGTGTCACCAGGTTCGCCATATCTGTGTCTGTCCTTTCACACCCCCCACTTAGGGATACTACTTCAGTTTTGCTGCAGTTGTCCCAGATTGTAAGAAACAATGTTGAAAAAACCCATCAAATACTTTCAGAGATAGTGTTTACAAGATGAAGTGTCTTCTGCTGCTGCTCTTTCCTTCCTGTGATTTGTCACAAAATGAAATCAGGTGCTTCATCCACACAATGTTTTGGAGAAGTGATAATCAAGACCTTTCGCTTTACTGACACTATGCAGCATTGCTTCAATTTTGGTGTGGTCGGTCACAAAATTTCATCAGTTACAGATCTTAAGATGACCAATTAGTGTCAAACTGGCAAAGAAGGAGTGGGTATGTAGGTAAAGAATGAGAGCGATTCACGAATGTTTCCCAAAAGCCTTCATTATTCCAGAATTAATGAATTTGAGGAAGTACCTTGTTGGCTCCTCCCCAGCCTCTGAGTAAGAAAGGCACAGACTGTTGCTAACAAGAACAGAGATCCCACATATTAATGGTGAAATGTTATATGACTGTCATATCAGAAGTAAGCAAATGTAAAAGATATATAACTAATTAGAAATTCAATAAAACATGAAAAACCAAAATTAATATCAAAATAAATTAACCTATTTGTTGAAAATGTCAGGGTCAGCCCCTGTTTGTCCCAGTCTTCCATGTCTCCCGTTTGGCCAGCAGGTGTCGCTGGCCATCCTGTCCTCCCTGTTGTTTTCCCCTGCACCTCATCAGCTGCATGGCTCAATGAGCTGAGCATGTGGGTGTCAACCCCTAAATCTTGTGTTCAAATCCTACCTCCTCTGATTTTGTATTTTTTTTTAGATTTTTTGTATGAAACAAGGGAATAATTCTGGTTTTCGCTTTTGTGACTGTGATAGGTAAAAACACAATCTGTTATTCCCCTGCATTAGGTTCGGTTTCCCTGTTTCTGTTAGTTTCTTAGGTTCCCTGTTTGATTCCCTAGTTCTTTGAGTTGATTATTAGTTTCACCTGTCGCCTGTTTTCTTGTGCCAGTCCTTGTGTATTCTACCCTGATTGCTCATTGTCCTGCACCCTCCCCGATTGGTTAATTGTTTTCACCTGTCTTGTATTATCCTTGTTAACCTTTTGTATTTAAGTTCCTGATCCTGTTCTGTTCCTTGTGCAGTTGTTGAAGTTTGTCAGTGTAGTATTTCTTGTGTAGCTCATAAGGTGTATTTCATGTCTTAGATGTTACCCTGTGTTGTATTTGTTGCCTGCCTGCCCGCCCGACCGCCCGCCCGACCTTTTGTAATTAGTCTTTGTTTTTCCCCTTTTAATTTTCACCCCTTGCGGCCCATTTATTTTGCAGTGTTCTTAGTGTGTTCAGTTTTGTTTAATAAACCTGTGTTCCTGTGAGCCTCTCCTGGAGCTGCCACCTTATAGTGGTGGAGGGGTTTGCGTGTTCTAATGATCCCAGGAACTAAGTTGCCCGGGGCTTTATGCCCCTGGTAGGGTCACCCAAGGCAAACGTGGGCAATGACAGTGAGACCTGGAGTGGCGTGATTGGGAGGAATGGCCCCCCTGATCTGAACCCGAGCGGTGTTTGGTTGTTGGACTTCTGTGCTCGTCACGGATTGTCCATAATGAATACCATGTTCAGGCATAAGGGTGTCCATATGTGCACTTGGCACCAGGACACCCTAGGCTGCAGTTCGATGATGGACTTTGTAGTTGTGTCATCGGACTTGCAGCCACATGTCTTGGACACTCGGGTGAAGAAAGTGGCGGAGCTGTCAAGTGATCACTACCTGGTGGGGGGTTGGCTCTGCTGGTGGGGGAGGAAACCGGTCAGGCCTGGCAGGCCCAAGCGTATAGTGAGGGTCTGCTGGCGGAATCCCCTGTCAGGAGGAGTTTCAACTCCTACCTCCGGCAGAACTTCTCCCATATCCCGCGCCTCCATTGTGGAGGTGGCTGACCGGAGCTGTGGCCATAAGGTGGTCGGTGCCTGTCGCGGCAGCAATCCCCAAACCCGCTGGTGGACAGCGGTAGTGAGGGATGCTGTCAAGCTGAAGGAGTCCTATCGGGCCTTTTTAGCCTGTGGGACTCCAGAGGCAGCTGACAGCTACGGGCAGGCCAAGTGGGATGCAGCTTCGGCGGTCGCTGAGGCAAAAACTTTGGTGTGGGAGGAGTTTAGTGAGGCCATGGAAAACTACTTCCGGACGGCTTCGAATCGATTCTGGTCCACCATCCGGAGGCTCCAGTCGGGAAAGCGGTGCAACACCAACACTGTTTATGGTGGGGATGGGGTGCTGCTGACGTTTTGGGTCGGTGGAGGGAGTACTTCAAAGACCTCCTCAATCCCACCGACACACCTTCCAACGTGGAAGCAGAATATGGGGACTTGGGTGTGGACTCCCTTATCTCTGGGGCGGAGGTCACTGAGGTGGTTAAAAAGCTCCTCAGTGGCCGGACCCCGGGGGTGGATGAGATCCACCCGGAGTTCCTTAAGGCTGTGGATGCTGTGGGGCTGTCCTGGTTAACACGCATCTGCAGCATCGCGTGATCATCAGGGGCAGTGCCTCTGGACTGGCAGACTGGGGTGGTGGTCCCCCTATTTAAGGTAGACTGGAGGGTGTGCTCCAATTATAAGGGGATCATACTCCTCAGCCTCCCTGGTAAGGTCTATTCGGGGGTTCTGGAGAGGAGGGTCCGCCGGATTGTCGAACCTCGTATTCAGGAGGAGAAGTGTAGTTTTCGCCCTGGACGTGGAACAGAGGACCAGCTCTATACTCTCCTCAGGGTTTTGGAGGGTTCATGGGAGTTTGCCCAACCAGTCTACATGTGTTTTGTGGACTTGGAGAAGGCATTCGACCGTGTCCCTCGGGGAGTCCTGTGGGGGGTGCTCCGGGAGTATGGCGTGGCGGGCTTCCTTTAAAGGGATATTTGGTCCCTGTATGACCGGTGCCAGAGCCTGGTCCGCATGGGCGGCAATAAGTCGGACTTGTTTCCAGTGAGGGTTGTACTCTGTCAGGGCTGCCCTTTGTGTTAGTGGGAATGGCCCAGTTCGATCTCGTTACTTTCACCCTCCACCCCACGCTCGAGCAGTTTGATAGGTGCCGCAAGGACGACTTGCTGGCAATAGCGGACTTTTTTTAATGTGTTTGTCCCCGTTGAGGCGTCCAAATGGGCGATAAAACGGGTTCTGCAGGACAAGCTGATTCAGCAGGGTATCCTACCCGAGTTGGGCGGTTCGCCGCGTGTTGCGTCCACACCCCTGCGGTTGCCGACTGCAGCGGAGGCCAGCGGCGACGATCCAGGGCTGGGGATCCGCATGGATCCCGGCGACCCTCGCTCAGCTAGGGAGGAGCTGCTGCTTACCATTAAGCTGAGGGAGCTGGAGTTGGAGATAAAACGGCAGGAGTATCAGGCACAACTTCTCCATGTCCGGGCTGTGGAGATAGAGGCTAAGAAAGAGGTGGCATTGTGGAGGCTAAGCAGGGCTGAACCAAAGCCTGAGTCCCGTCCGTGGAAGGTACACTTGCCGGGTGTCGCCCCTCAGGCAGACCTACACGCCCGTGACCCAGCTGGTGCCCAAGACGCTCCTCGCCCTCTCCTGTGTTCTCCTTTGGGTTCGCCAGCTTCCCAAAGCACTGAAATTGGGCATTCCGGATTCGATGTCAGCCGTCAGGTCAGACTTGTTCCCATATTTCGTGAGAATGAGGTGGATGCCTATTTCTCTATATTCGAGCGGATCGCTACGACCTTGAACTGGCCTAAACACCTTCGGTCTTTGTTGTTACAATGTAAGCTAGTGGGGAAAGCGCAAGAGGTTTGTTCGGCTCTGGCATTAGAGCAGAGCCTAGATTATGATGTCATGAAAGCTACTGTATTAAAGGCATATGAGTTAGTACCAGTGACTTTTCGACAATTAAGTAAATCCGCCAGCCAAACCCACGTTGAGTTTGCTCGTGAGAAGGCTCTGTTTGATAAATGGTGTGCTACAAGTGGTGTCTCCGACTTTGACCAGCTTAAGGAGTTGCTGTTATTAGAGGAATTTAAAAATTGTGTTCCGGATCGTGTCGTGGTGTATTTAAAGAAACGACTTTCTGTTCATTTGTCTGAGGCTGCCACCCTTGCAGATGAATTTATTTTGACCCAACTCCTCTGCCTCGTAGACTTGGTCCCCGTCCTGTGACACCTCCATTGTCATCCGCTGCGTCTCCACCACCTGTGGAGAAAAGGGAATGTTTCTATTGTCACGAGGTGGGTCATATCATCTTCTGTTTGTCCTGCGCTAAAGCGTAAGAACGCTCGTGTTGCTGCCAGAAAGGTGCAAATTGCTGCTCGCATCGACCAGGCTGCACCGCCACCCCTGACTGTTGAACCTACCTTTCAGCCCTTTGTGTTCCCTGGCTTGGTCTCGCTCGGTGAAAATCAGGTACGACACCCTGTGACTATCCTACTGTCAGGGTCAGCCTCCCGCTGTGGTCCTTCCGTGCCCCTTCCCCGTTTGACCAGCAGGTGGTGCTG